CCTTGGAAGGAGAAGCAACTGCTCGTGGGGCATGGAAAGGAGTTTGCAGCCCAGTATCCTGCAGCTGAGGCTCAGCTTTGTGCCTGATACTGGGATGGTGTGTGGGTCCCACTGTGGGTGCCAGTAACCACTGTCTACTTCCTCAGGACCTGGTAGACTGGCAGAAGCCCCTGTTGTGGCAGGTGGGCTACTTGGGGGAGAAGTACGATGAGTGGGTGCACCAGCCCGTGGATCGGCCCATCCGCCTCTTCCACTCGGACGTCCTCGAGTTCCTCTCCAAGACAGCATGGTGAGCTCCTGGGGTCTGCACCTGCCCCGGCCGGTGCTTCCACGGGGAGGGAATGGCTCTCCAGGCTGTGGGATGCTCCCTCTGACATCTCCCTCGACCCCGCAGGTACGTGGTGTTCATGGTATGGACGCCCGTGGTGCTCTATCTCAGCTGGGTCAGCTACACCTCCCTCGCCCAGGGCAACACCCGGCTCTTCTCCTCCTTCACCACAGGTACGAGCAGCGACAAAGCCCTTGGTTTTCCCTTGCTGTCCCCACTCTGGGTCCAGGGGCAGGACAGCCCTGGGTGCGAGGAGGCCTCTGCATCCCTCCCTTGTCCCCTTTCCGTGCATGCTCACCACAAGCCGCATGTGAGAGCAGCGGGTGAGCCCCTGCCCCTGCAGCACCGGCACGACCCCTGCATGCCACCCCTTCAGCTCACCCAGCTCCAGCCCCTCCTCTTGCCCACAAGACAGAGCCTGCTGACCCAAGGTGCAGCCTGCTCTCTCCTGCCTCCCTTCCCTCCGTCCCCAAAGCAGAGCCGGCCAGCTCCGGGGTTTGTTCCAGGCCTGACGCCCACCCGGGCGGTGCCTGAATGCCGGCGTGGCGGGGAACAAACCCGGCTCTCAGCGCCGCCGGCGCCGCACAGTGCGGGGCTTGTTTGCCCCGAGCGCCTGCCCTTGAATCTCCCACTGTCTGCTCCCCCGGGAATAACAAGCGTGGCCAGGGCAGGCTGTCTTCTTTGTTGTCTTTTTTTTTTAATTTTTTTTTTTTCCCTGAGTTCCCTTTTTTTTTTTTTCTTTTTTTTTTTGCAAGGTGCCACCCAGTGCCAGCTGTGCTCGGATTGGGGGGGGGGTAAAATTGCCTGCTGCACTGGCACCCCCCTGCTCCTTGGCACCCAGCACCTTGCTGGCATTCAGGTTTAGAGGGTTTTTTTACTAAAAATTAGCAGGTTTGGGAAGAATCTTAATTTTTGCTAGAGAGGACGCAGGGCTGGCAGCCAGCCCTGAAAGAAGGAGGTGGCTGAAAAATGCTCTGCGGGGGAAACTGCCCAACAAACCTATTCTTTTTGCCCAAAAAAAAAAGAAACCCCAACACCAACAACACTGTTTTACTGTCACAAGAGCTGTCTGTGCAGATAAGGTCCCTCCTGCCTTGTTCTGGTGGGCGAAGCAGCCTTGTAAGGTTGGGGCAGTCCCTGGAGTGCATGCCCAAGCCCTTGTTGGCATCTGGGATGCAGGAGACCCCCTCACTGGAGCCTTGTGGTAGTGATAAGTTCTGTAAATTAGTGGGAATCAGGGGAAAACGTGGTTTTGGAGCAGTGCTTGGGCAGGCAGCTCCCTGGAGGGGCTCAGGGCAGGAGGTGGATGAGAGGTGGGAGGGAGGGAGAGCCAAGCATCACCTGGACACCAGTGGGAGGCTGGTGATGGATAAGAGCACCCGCACGTCGCCTGCCCTGCTGACCGCTGCATGTCTCGTTGTGTAGAGTACTCCATCCCTGTCCACAAATACTACTTCCCCTTCATCTTCCTCCTGGGGATGATCCTGTGGTCCCTGCTAGAGTACCTCATCCATCGCTTTGTCTTCCACATGAAGCCACCCGCTAGTAACTACTATCTCATCACCTTGCATTTCTTGCTGCATGGGCAGCATCACAAGGTGAGTCGCGGCTCCCGCCCCCGCTGGCGCCCGCTGGGCTGTGGGAATGGTGGCCTTTGCTCTGGTGGAGCCTGTTTCTGCACGGCCTTTGCCCAGGCAGAGCCTGTTTGTTGTCAGCCTGTTTGCTGTGACTGGTGCCATCCAAGCGGGGCCCTTACCCAATACCGGCGAGGGCTGCAAGACAGGCTTGGAGGAGCTGGAGTTAAATCTGCAAGCTCCAGCTGGGCAAAGGGGAACACCAAAACAGCCGTGGCTCCCTCTAGCTTTGCTGGAGGAAATGTCCCTGTGGAGCTTTGGGGACCTGCCAGTTAAAGCCACCACCCGCCCAGCCATCTTGGCGTGCATGGGGGGGCTGCTCCTGCCGCCGGGTACATCACGGGGGAGGGTTTTTGGTGTTGGCCTCTCCCAGATGGGGCTTCCCCGATGCTTGGGAGGGATGCTCTGAGGGAGGGAGGGAGGGTGAGCCGGGAGCTGCCTGTCCCACCGTCCCTCTCCGCTTCCAGTCTCCCTTCGACAGCTCCCGCCTGGTCTTCCCTCCCGTGCCGGCCTCGCTGGTGATCGGCTTCTTCTACGGCGTCCTGCGGCTCCTGCTGCCCGAGGTGCTGGGGCTCTCGGTGTTCGTCGGGGGGCTCTGCGGCTACGTCATCTACGACATGATGCACTATTACCTCCACTACGGCTCGCCCAAAAAAGGCACCTACCTGTATGGCCTGAAGGCTTACCACGTCAAGCACCACTTTGAGCACCAAAAATCAGGTAGCTCCCTGTCCCACCCCCCACCCCCTGCAGGCTGGCAGGGCCAAGGGCTGTCCAAGCCCGGTCCACCTGCGCCTGTGCGACTAACGCTCCAAAATGTTCGGTGTTTGGGATTTGGGATTGGGAAGGCCAAGCACTGCACTGCTGGGGAAGCGGCACGTGAGGGGCTGCAGCCCGTGGGGCGCATTTCTTGGCCCCCTGGTTGAGGATGGGGAGCCAGAGTGGCACAGGGGGAAGGCAGCAGCCCATCTCACCGGTGGGTATTAATGCCACCAGGGATGCCAGGGTGGAGGCCAAGCCCCCATGGGGCTGGGATGTGGGTGTCTGTTCTGGCCCGGGGCAGTATCTGTTCCTGCCAGGAGGCACTGGAGGGCAGGGTGAGGCCCTGGGCTTCCCCAGGCTCGCCCCAAACCTTCCCCAGCCTGGCACTTGCTCAACGTGCCCTTTGCCCGGTTTCCTAGGAGAAAACGCCCCATCCAGATAAGCTATCATCCACGGGCCTGGTGGCATGGCCCAGCCAGCTCCTGCTCCCCCTGCTCTTCCTCCTCGCCCTCACCTCGCCTCCCTCCCTCCTCAAAGCACAGCCGCTCCTCCCTCACCACGTAACACAGAGCCCTGGCCGCACCCCGGCCCTGGTGGTGCCATGGGCTGAGCACTCTCCCCCCTGCCCACAGGCTTTGGCATCAGCACACGCTTCTGGGATTACCCCTTCCGGACACTCATCCCTGAGGAGACCTTCAAGAAAGAGGACTGACAGCCCCGAGCCCGTGCCTGGCTCCGTCCCCGCTGGGCTCCGTCCCTGCCCAGCCCTCGGCAAGGCCGGCTGGTCCCTGCCCCCTTCCTGGGGGCTGTGCCACAGCAGTGGCTCCACACTGGACCATCGTCCCAGAGGGCTGTGGCACGGCCAAGGGGATGGGGGACTGAGGATCTGAAGAGGAGGAGGAGGTTCTGGGACTCCCTGGGGGGCTCCTGCCTCTCCCTTGCCTCCCTCCCGCTCCAGGCCATGGATGCGCAGGCAGATCTGCTGCCTGAGAGATGAAGTGCCTGGTGCTGCCCTCCACCCTCTGCCCTGGCCCCCAAAGCCCCTGTTCCTCCCAGGGTGCTCTCTCTCTCTCCAGGGCTGCAGTTAATCCCATCCCCTAACTCGTGCCAAGGGGATTCCATACCCTGGATCCGATCTCAGCACAGGGTTTTCTTGGCCTGCAGCCCTTTTGGGGCATCCTGCAGGTCTGGACTGTGCCTTTTTCTAACCGGTGCACCCATATCTCTCTGCCAGATTTATCAAGTTCATGGTTTTCATAGACATTGGCTACTTGAAACTCAAACTCCAATGAGAAGAATTACTATGAGATGCCTATTTTTTTTTTTTTTGCTGATCCTGTGATTTTATTTTTTATTATTTTTTTTCCCTAATGTTTACTGCAGATATTTAAAGGTTTGGAATAAATTTATATGTAAAGCTTAGACACTACAATTGTAAATAAACTGTATATTTTGAAAAATAAAGCCTTCTAAAAGAGTCTGACAAATATATCCCCTGGGGCTACTCCCGTGTTCTCCCACCCTTGGTGCATCCCTTTCCAGGTGCTGACGGCCCTCGGTGCCACCTTTCTGGGCTCCCCTCATCAACCACAGTGAGGGAGGAGCTTTATTGGGAGCATCAGCAGCAAACTCCTGTGACCCCAGGCTCGGGTAAGCAGAAGCTGGCTGAAGTTGCCACTCACTTCCCTGAAATTGGGCAAGAGTGCTTCCTAAAATCAGCCTGGCCCCCTGTGACGAAGCCACCTGCAAAACTTCCTGTGCTCCCAGCAGAGGTGAAGCGCTATTTCCAGCACTGGTGCCCACAGCCCACTTCCTTTGGGGTGAAGGGAGCAGAAGGTGCCAAAGGACCAGCACCCCTCGTTTGGGATGGGTGTGTTCCAGAGGGTGTCACTGCAGGCGAAGGGAGCTCAGCAGGACACAGAGCTCCTGTTTTGTGGGTGTTACAGTGCCCTGGGCAGGCCTTCTCACAGCTGACAGCACAGCAGAAGGGGTCAGGGTGCTCAAAATAGCAGCAAGCATCGATTCAGGGGGCACAACCTCCCCCCCCCTTCTGAACGTGCTTCCCGTGGGCAATTCCTTCTTCCACCAGGCAAAACCCAGCACAGGGGCCTCCATCTGCTGGGGATACCCCAGGCAGCTTTCTGGGAGCAGGGGGCTGTCCCGGCGTGGGAAGCTGCAGGGGGTTGCACAACGTCCCTTCCGCTGCGTGGCACCGGTGGCAGGGAGAGCACCCTATAAAACCCTTCTCCTCCTGCTGTGCCTCTCCAGTCTGTGGGGGCAGCCAAGGCAGAGACCAGCGGAGCAGGACCAGGTAACAGCTCGTTTCTTCCTTGGGGACAGGGCTGGAAAGAGGACGGGAGGGTGGCTGCAGATGATGTCTGGGGGTGTTCCCATCTTGTTTCCTGCCGGTAGAGTCCAGCACTCTTCTCTTAGCACTGGCTGCATCAGTGGTGTGGGTGGCTGCTGATAATTTCTCTGCAGTATGGGTGGTATTCTGTCCCTGCTGCCTGGATGTGGGCTGGGGAGCAGGGATGGTCCCTGCGGGGATGCTGAGAGCACAGAGAGAGTTTGATTTAAAATCTTAAGTGGGAAATACAGGGCTATAGGGAGAAAATATGGAGAGGCTGGGGATGCTGGGTGCAAGCTTTTGTTAGATGGGTGACAACAGAGAGGGACATTGGGTAGAAAGGAAAATGGATCTTTATGGTCGAAGATGGCTCTGTGGGCAGGATCCCAGGGTGATGCAGGACTGGAGTCAGGAGTGCTGCCCAGGGAATTCTCCTTGAGCCACTGCTGACCTCACTCCTTGGGTTGTAAGTTGTCTGGGATGGCTCACACTAAATTAATGTACATAAATCAAGCTAAAATCTGCTACTGCAGATAGAGATGTGCCCCTGCTGCTGGTACCGGTGTCGCTGTGTGTGCCCGTTCTGGTCTGTAAGGGCAGCTGTGGTGCCAGGCAAGGCAGAGGCAGCAAAGCTGGAGGAGGTGTAAGGGGCTGTGGGGGGCCTCGAGGGTGGTGTCCCATAACAGGGCTGTTCCATAGGGTGGAAGGTTGGAAGAGCTGCATTCAGCTAATCTCCGAGCAGCACCTGAGGCTCACCTCCAGCAGACACTGCCAGCCCACATCCCCACATCCCCAAACCCTTTGCTGCCAGCATGGACATCGTGGAGAGGGTCCTCTCCGTGGCCCAGGCCATCCACGCCCAGTTCGAGCAGGTGAAGTGCTGTAAGCACCAGTGCCAGCGCCTCGTGGAGCGCATCCAGATCCTGCTGGAGCCCGTGAGGATCCTCAGGGCTCAGCCACGACAGCACATCTCCCGCCACGAAGAGGAACTGCTGAAGAAACTGCTCCGGGTCCTGGGGGAAGCTGAGAAACTGGTGATGAAATACAGCCAGACCAGCTGGATCCAGAAGTTCCTGCGAGCCCGCAGCACTGGCGAGGAGTTCGTGTGGGTGAACGAGAGCCTGGAGGACATTGCCCAGGGGCTCTCGCTGCTGCTGCAGGCGGAGCAGAAGCAAGCTTTCCTGGAAGCTTTCCAGGCAAAGACGTGTCGCAGGCAGGATGCCGAGGACCTGAGGGATGACAGGGCTTTCTTGGACCAGGTGATTGCAAGTAAGTGTGCGTTTAGCAAACCCTCTTTCCCCGAGACCAGCGGTTGGCACCTCTCCCCAGCTGCTGCCCAGCTTTGGCTTGATTGCCATGGCCACAGAGAGCCTGAGGAGAGCCATTTAAACCATGAGAAAAACTAACCACATCAGCCCTGCTTGTTCATCCAGTGGCCCAACCTATTTCCCCAGGTACTGAGGAACCCGAGGAGGTGGCTGAGGAGATCTGCCTCGGCGGGCAGTGGATGGAGAGCAGGGTGGACTGGATGCAAAGCGAGCTGAACAAAATCGTGCGCGAGATGGAGCGTAAGTGGTGTCGCAGTTCCTGCACCCTGTGCTCTGTGTCCTTCCCCCCCCCCAAAAGTCCTGCCTAACGAGTCCCTCGTTCCCTCCCGGCACGCGATGGGAGCAGGTTTGAAGAAGGTCAACGTTGGTAAAAGAGAAGACATCACTGAGATCAGGCGGGACCAGCTCACCATCTGCAGGCACCTGCAGGACACCGAGAGCTACGACCTCTACGAGGGCGAGTACCTCAAGTACCCTGTTGCCATCAAAACCTTCAAGAAGCCACTGACCACTGACCCAGCGTGAGTCGTGCTGGGTGGGAGCGAGGGTGCCACGTGGCAGGGTGGCACAGCACCGTGTCACGCCTGGTCCCAGGGATCTCACCGTGCTGTCCTCGTCCACAGGAAGGTGAGAGACATCTTCGAGAAGGAGATTCAGACCCTGAAGAAGTTTGAGTCCCCAAACATCCTGCGCATGTACGGGATCTGCATAGAGGAGAACGGTAGGGGTGTCACGCTGACGTCACCCTTTTTCCTCCCCTGCCTGTCCCCAGTGGCAGACAGTTTGCTGTGGTCCCCTCCCAGGAGGTGGCACGAGGCAGGATGCTTTTGCCTTGCAGATGGGAGCCCCTGCTTCTCCATCGTCATGGAGTACTGTAAGCACGGGACGCTGCGGGATGTGCTGAACACACACCAGCACCTTTCCTGGGACATCCGCATTCGGATGGCCCTGGGAGCCGCCAGGGGCCTTTACAGGCTGCACCAGACGGGGGAGAAATCCCGACTCCACGGCTGCATCTGCAGCAGCAAGTTCCTGGTGGCTGGGGATTACTGTGTGAAGGTAAGGAACGCTTTTGGGGAAGGTTTGGGGAGTTCTGAATGGTTGTGTGGATGTCTCCCTCCACCAACACTGAAGGGAATTATGAGGGTCCAGAATAAAACTTGGAGTAGAGCCAGCTCCCCTATCACCTTAGGCGCTTAAACCTCCTTATCTCAGTCTTACCATCAGCAAAGTGATTGTTCCTGAGCCATCCACACTGGGATGAGCTGAAGCTGGAGCAATTCACCTGCTTCCGCCTCTGGTTTCACTTGCAGACAGAGACACGTGCCGGGCAGCACACGTGGCTGCGTGCCAGCCTTTACTGCCCAGGGCATCTCGCTCTGCTTGCTCCATCTCCCCAGCTGTGCCACAGGGGTCTGCCTACCACTTCTCCCTTTCTCTCTCATTCTCTCAATCAGCTGTCGGGGTTTGAGCTGTGTGAGACGGAGTCATCCATCAAGAGGAAAGCCAAGAAGAACTGGAAGCAAGTCTCCATGCTGGCTTACGTCGCTCCTGAGAACATGAAAGACATCAACTACCCCTACAAGAGGCCCTGTGAAATATACAGGTGTGTCTGCCCCTCCCTGCAGGGGGGCCTGTCAGCAGCCAGGTGTCAGGCAGAGAAGCTGCTGAGCTCTGCAAGGAGGTCAGGTTTAATTGGACACATAAACCCTTGTTTCCTGTTGGCAAAGCCCAATAATCCTGCCCATCAGAAGGGAGGAACACACGGTAGAATGAACGCTGAGACTCTTGTTTGTCTCCTTCCAGCTTCGGGATCGTGCTGGCAGAGATTGCAACCTCCAAAATCCCATTTGAAGGTGAGACAGAAGGATCTGGTTCCCTGCATAAAAGCCACGCAGCACAGTGAATTCCTGTCTGTCACTGGATGCTCCCTGCCCCTTCCCTGAGCATCCCACGCTGTGCAAGTCCAAGTGGCAGTGCCTGCTGTGCCTGGCTCTGCACAACAGCTTCACAGCTTCTCCTGGAACTCTGATATAAGTAAAGGAAAGCTTGCAATAAAGCAACAGGCTTAAACCACAAACATGCAAATAATTTTTGTTTCTATTTGATGTTCCTGTGCATTTAAGCATAAACTCATCTCCCCGCTCCACTGGAGCCCAACATTATTGTGACAAATACTGTGGGGTTCGTTGCAGATGGAGTTTGGGTCTCTTCCCTGCTGGCTTCTCTGAGCCATAGGCTGCAGGAAGGCTCTTGGCATGGCCTTGCACTGGGTTTCCTCCCCAGCACCCTCCTGCGGCAGCAGAGCTCCATCCTGACACTCCTGTTTGCACACACGTTGTTTCAGGCTGCACTCCTGAGGAGATCGTGGAGAAAATCTGCAGCCACTGTTACTGGGACCCTGTTGGGGAGGATTGTCCTGCAGACCTGCGGAGAGTCATCGACCGGTGCCAGGCCTTGGACCCTTCCCAGCGCCCTTCTGCCGAGGGTAAGTGTCCTGGGCATCTGCTCCACAGGCCCTTATTTCCCTCAATCAGCTACCTCTGCAGGCAGTTTGCCCCTTGTTTCCCATAAGGATTTGTCTGGCTTTGTGTTTTGGGATCCACTCTTGACCTGCCCTCTTATGCTAACTAATCCCCCAATACCAGACCTCGTATCTTGAACATTTACCCATGCCAAGACAATAATCACCAGGCTGTTTATTTGGCATCACAGAAGAGTAGCTTTTCCTCTCAGACAAGCACCGAACTGGGAGCAGGGGTGTCTGGGTTAATCCCCGCTCAGGTCCTGCAGACCCCATCAGCTGGAGGAGCAGCCACAAAACTGTGCAGGAACACCGCCTGCTCAGCTCTTAAAAAAAGAACCCAAACAGCCAACAGCAAACACTCTGTTTTGATTAACGCCACCCCTGTGTTTTGCAGAGATTGTGGACTCGCTGGCTGAGCTGGAGAAAAGCAGGAACCAAGGAATTTGACTGCGGAGAGCAGGGCTGGATGACCACGGGCAGCGAGCCCAGGGTGCTCTCCCCCCCTCTGCCCTCACAGAGACTGATGGTTCAATACACGAGTGTTTGTGTCTGTGTGCCACCTTCCCCTCGCCGAGGGGCCACACCTGGGGGTCACCCCAGAGGCACGGGGGGGGCGAGGGTGCCCTGAAAAGGGGACTCCAGGAGGCCAGCAGGAAGCCTGGGACACCACGGGGATGGGACACGGACATGTCTTGCAAGGACAGGCTGAGGGAGCCGGGCCTGTCACCCCAAGAGACGACCGAGGGGCACCTTATCAGTGTCTGTCAGGAGCTGAAGGGAGGGTGCCAGAGGATGGACCAGGCCCTGCTCGGGGGTGCCCAGAAATAGGACAAGAGACAAAGGGCAGAAACTGATGCCCAGGAAGTTCCAGCTGACCGTATGGAAGAACTTCTTTACTGTGGGAGTGACCACACACCGGGATAGATCACCAGAGAGGGTGTGGAGTCTCCCTCACTGGACATATCGCAGAAGCATCTGGACGCAATCCTGTGCCGTGTGCTCTGGGGCGGCCCTGCGTGGGCCAGATGACCCACTCTGTGATTGTCCTCGGCCCGATGCTGCGACCCCCGAGTGTCCCCCCGGGTCCCCCCGGCGGGCTCTCCGGTCGCCATGGCAACACCCCGCCCGCCCCTCTGCTCTTTTTTTGAACGAACTGGCCTTCCCGCTCTTTTCGCCCCGCGGCGTCTCCGCCAATGAAAACTCACTCCGCGGCCCTTGCCCCGCCCCCTACGGCCATGAGAGGCCTCCTTGCCCAATCAGCAGGTCCCTCCCTCGGCCCTCTGACCAATCAGAGCAGGCCCTTCCTCCGCGCCCCTCGTCCTCGTCACCGCCCGTCTCTTCGGACAGACGGACAGAGATCTTGACCAATGAGAAGGCGGGAGTGGCTGGGGCTCGCCCAATAGGACCTGGCGCGGAGGTCGCGGGTAGCCAATAGGGCGCAGGGGGCGGGGCGGCGCGGCGCTCGAGCGGGCGGTGGGGCCCGGCCTGGCTCAGGTGAGGAGGGGGGGCGGTCCCGGTCCCGGTCATTTCCATCGGCATGGCCTGTTCTCCCCGAGCCGGTGCCCACAGCACGGCTCCTTCCTCCCAGGCAGGAGCCGCTCCCCCGGCACAGCACGCTGTCCCCCGGGCTCGCTGCCCCCGGGCTGGCTGCGGGAGGGGGAATGTCCCGCGCCCGTCGTGCGGCCGGTTCGTCGCTGCAGAACGCGGGCCCTGTGAAAAGCCCGCAGCGAACCTGCGCCTGTGGAGCGCGTGGTTCATTTGGGTGGTGTTTGGGGGGTGTTTTGGTGGCTGAAGCAGGTGCGGGTGATCCGTGCAGAGCGGGGCCCGGCTGCCCTCGGCGAGGGGAAGGTGCTGCTTCAGCCTTCGGCCCTCGGGTGCGAGCGCTGGGGCTGCCCGTGGCGCCTCTTCCCGAGCTTTGGAAACCCGGGGAATTGTCTCATCCGGGCCCGGGAACGCCTGTTTGTGGAGACCCTCCATGTGCGGGCTCTCCCGGGGACCGCCCGGCTGGCTGGGGGCAGCGCTGGCCTTGGCTCCTTTCGGGAAAATTCCAGGATTTAATGGTGAAAATGGCGGTGTTAACAGGGGGGGTTTGGGGTCTCACGGTTAATGTAAACACTGGCTGCCCAGGGAGGCTGTGATGTCCCAACCCTGGAAGTGTTCCAGGCCAGGTTGGATGAGGCCTTGAACGAGGGGTCAGGTGGAAAGGTGCCCATGGCAGGAGCCCAATCCCTTTACAACCCCATTCTGTGATTCTGTGTATGGTGAAAATGAAGGGGAGTTTATGTTTATAGGTGGCAATTGTATCACAAACATGAGCACAGTGCTAGAAAAGCACTACTTGACCATAGAATACTATCATGTCTTGGCCATGCAGCTGTTCTGGTGGGAGGTGGCATTTAAGATTCATTTTTGTCCTAGCATAGGCTGAATTGGTAATTAGGATAATAATTATGAAATGACTCAGAATTTCTTTAAAGGTCTATAAAAATATTTGAGCATTAGTACATCCCCCTCTAGTAATTCTTGTGTAAATTTTCCAGCTATTTTTGTACTAAAAGCTGCCTTTGCTGTGTTTGCACAGTGCCTAGATGGGTACATTTTGGTGTGTGGTTTGGGCTCCTAAATAATGCTAAAGGTCTGCAGTTCCCAAAGCCTTTCACGTTTATGATGGCTTAAGTACTTTTGGAGAATGTGAATTGCCTTCAGCAGCCCCAAGAATTTAATCCATGCAGCTCTTCCAATAAAGGACTTCTGTGGGCTTTTGGTGCATCTGTTTATTGAGATAATGAAATAATTTTGAACCTTTGTGTATTGTAAGACTTCCTTCCCCTGAAGGGTGGCTCATCACAGACTCTCTGTGGCACAGTGTGACCAGAGGGCTCGAATCTGGTGCCTGGCAGCAGCATAAGAATTAATAATGCGCAGGCTATTATTGTCTCCTCTGTTTTTCTTCAAAACCTAAGGTAGTACTCCTGTTTAGGAGGGAGTCTAAAATCTATACCCCAAAGATGTTGGCAGGACAGCCATCCTTAATGACATAGGTACGGTTTGACTGCAGCTTTCATGTTTATCTGGCCTCGGGCTGAATGTGGATCCAAAAATGCTGGTGCTGTGGGTAACTTGGTACCTGTAATGTCTCATTTACAGTCATCTCAAATCTTTCCAAATTCTCTTCCCCAAGATCCACATGAATTTACTGGCAAGTGAATGATGCCAGCAAGAAAACCTTAACTTTCCACATTCATCCAAATGCTTATTTAAGTTGATTTTTTCGCAGTGTGCCTTTGGTGTTGGGTGCTGTTGAGGCACCAACTTGGAGCCCGGGACTCTGGGAGGGTGCTGCCTGCTGTGCTGGCTCGTGTGTGTGTACTGACTCGTGGTGGTTTTGTTCTGCTGCAGAAGGACAAATTTTCTCTGGACTCTGAATTCCAAAGGCTTTTGTAGTCCCTGACTGCTGCACCTGCTTCTTGCTACCAGCAGGTTAGAAGCAGGGTGCACACTTGCAAATAAGTACTCTTTTCTTTAACTCTCTGCAGGAATGGCTCAAGAAGAGATGGAAGTTGATCTCCAGATAGTGGCTGTTTACCCAGAGGGGAACCTCAGGCCAGGTTCCCCGGAGCCCTCTGGCCATGCAGTGCTGTCATCCCACGCTGCTGTGCTGGCTGAGGGAGGAGGCAGCGCTGCAGTTCTTCCTGCTGAGGACGCTGTTGTCACACCAAACCCTGGCACAACACGGGAAGCAGCTGCAGAGCCTGTCCTGCCTCCGAGTCCTGCCCTCGGGGGGCTGCAGAGGCTCCAGGGGACGGTGGATCCCGCTCAGCCCTTGCCGGTGCTGCAGCTCACACAGCGCCCGCAAGCGAGGAGAGCTCCCAGGCAACAGAGAGCTGGTGGTTCCCAGAGGACAGTCAGTGCCAGGTACAGCAGAGATGAAACTGGGTCTGAACTGCGCTCTGATCAAGTCCAGCATCAGTTCCAAACTGCCTTGCTTCCTGGCTTACAGAGCCCGGCCCGGTGTGTGGCTGCGGCCAAACTCAGGGCACCTCACCTGCCTTTTAAGCTCAGCAGTAGCACAGCAACTCCTGGCCTCTTTTGGCAGAATCTTTGCTTTTGTTAAGTGACTCCCCCTGTTTCATGTGTTGACTCCTGAGCCCTTCTGCACTTTTCATTTTCCTTGCAGAGCTTCTGCTTGCACCGTCCCCCCTGCACAGCCAGATTGCTGCCAGTGCTTCCTGCAGCAGTGCTGACTCTCAGCAGTTCCAGCCAGCTTTTAGCTCAGTGGAGCCTGTGCTCTGATTTGCATTTCACCTTTGGTTTGGGGACTGCCTGGTTACATTTTCTGGTGATAATTGCTGCAGAAACTTTGATAAACACATAAACCGGTATTTTTCTGTAGGGTTGTTTTTGGGTTTGGTTGTGTTTTTTTCAGACAGAGAAAAAAATATTGTGTGTTTAATACCATTTGCAATGAATTAAAAAGGTGATGAGGGGGTGTGACGGTTTGGACTTGGCTCCCTGCCAAATGTCTGAAAGCTAGGACAGCAGCCCCCTTCCCCTCTTCTTTCTTCCCTTAGGTTAAAGGAGAAAGAAACTATAAAAATTAAAGAACTCACAATCAAGCTGCTTATATAAAAATATATCTATATTTACGCAAATTACAG